TTCACTCTTTTTCTCTTCTCTGCAGCTTCTGCGATTTTGAGGTTCAACCTAGAGAAAGAAATCTGGTTCGTTCCATCACTTCTTCTTCTCTTTCTCGTTTCGATTAGGTTTCCAATCCTTGGGTTTTTGATTTTCAATCTAGATTCGGCTTCGATTTTGGGTTTGTTTGCGAAATCTTTCCATCACTTCATTCTCGTTTCGATTAGGTTTCCAATCCTTGGGTTTTTGATTTTTAATCTAGATCCGGCTTCGATTTTGAGTTTGTTTGCGAAATCGTTCCATCACTTCATTCTCGTTTCGATTAGAATTTCCAATCCTTGGGTTTTCGATTTTCAATCTAGATATGGGTTCGATTTTGGGGACATTTGCGAAATCGTTCCATCACTTCTTTCTCATTTCGATTAGGGTTTCAATTTTTGGTTTGTTTTCGATATATTGTTGAATATTGAATCTTGGATCTTTGGCTTTTGTGCAGCAACGATGAGGAGAACTTTCAGTTACAGTTTAAGTTCTTCTTCCGCTAGCATCCGCAGTGGATGTCGAGAAGCTGATGGAGAGTACGGCATTCCGGCGAGTCTATGTTACTGTCGTGGACGAGTCGTTGTCCAGACTTCTCGGACTGATCTAAACGCGGGAAGGAGGTTCTTCACTTGCAAGAACAGTGAGGTAAAGATCCGGATTGTAGTGAGTAATACATTAACCGATAAACATTTAGGATTTATGTAAATTTGATGTGTAGAAAGGAGGTGTTCACGTTTGGAAATGGTGGGATGATGCCGTTATGGAGGGATTCAAAATCGTCAAAGTCTGATTAGATGAGGCAGCTAAGAAGATTCGGAACCTGAAAGTGTTTGGGGGACGACTCTTCATAATACTAAATTCCTTGTGAAGCAGCGCCTAGTGGAGTATGAAGCAAAGCTGAAGGAGTTGGAGTTGGAGTTGCTTGCCAACCGAGGTGTGAAGGAGTGGATGCTCAAGTTTGTGATTGGTGGTGGATTTATTGGGTTTGCAGTCATATCCACTGCAATTCTCCGTCTCTTTACGTAATATCTATGTTATCCATATCTATGCTATCTACTTTATGCTAGGAATCTGGATCTATGCTTCGATATCGCTATGTGAAATATTTTCGGTACTCTATGCTATGGAATCCTGTAATATTTAGGCTACAACTTAATAACTTAATATGCTATGAATCAACATTTTGTAATTTATTGTGCTCTATGAATCAACGTTATGTTATGAAAG